ACAAATGTGTGTTTGTGACAAAGATTTAAAACAATTTAAAACAGTTGTTATTAATTTGTCTGGTATGTGTAGACAAACACTGGTTCCTTGAGTCAGGAGCCTTTTTATGTTTGAATGATTCACAGGAAGGCCTGTCGGTGTGAGAGCTGGTGTTTTGAAACTTCTGCACATTACTATATTTCAATGAATATAAACACAAATCGAGCATTTTATTGTAGAAAAGTGTAGAAATACTGACCTCAGTGCAAAGACTGTACTTCTAAAATAGTTCTGCCTTTATTTTATGACACCTTCATCTTTGCCTTACTCACAGTTACCTGACTGACCAGTGCTGGAATGGAGGCTGTATTTACCTGATACTGCTGCGGCGAGTCAAGCGAAAGGCTCCTCTTCCTCCCTGTGATGCAGCTGAAAGTGTTTGTATCCCACTCACCAGTGACAACTGTGAAGACCAGCGTCACAGCACATCTGAGTCCTCCGACAGCTCTGCAAATTACAGACGCACACGTAAATGTGGAGTGATATCACGCTCGTCCTTCAACCTTGAGGACAGGCAGCGTACGAGCTCAGTCCGGAGGTCTTATCATGACTACAGTTCTCATCCTGAGAATATAGAAACTCGTCCTCCAGATAACTCAGCTCACGTCCTCCCCACACCGTCTAAGGAAAGCCCGGACCACTGTTCTCAGGTCAGAGCTGCTCCCCAGCGTCCACACGGTGGCGAGGCTGCCCCCCAGCCGCTGAGGTGTTACAGTCAGCTGCTAGAGTTCAAAATGGATTCTTCCTGCGGTGAATATTTATGCCAGGTGAGACAAATCGGATCAATACACGTCTGTTAGAAGCTCCCAACATGTTTCACTCAGTAACTGTTTCAATGAGAAGCAAATACAATCTAATGCAGTTGTTGATAGGTTCATCTAGCACAAACCCATTGCTGGGACGCCAAGACAATTCTGCTACAACGGCAAAAACAAAACAAGTCACCACAGCTCTTTGTGTGCTCTCGTGCAAGAGGGCGACGCCTGAGACGAGCGCCGTTCCTGCCGCTCGAACGCCAGTCGCTCTCAGTCAGCTCCTCCATAGCACTGCTCTTTATTGTGGTTACATGAATATGCATAGGTTCATTAACATATGACGTCTTACACAGGTGAACAAAGAGTACCATCTGTGTGTGTGTGTGTGTATCAAGATGTGGCCCTGTGAACGCCTCCTTAAAAAGCCGGAGTCCAGCGGTCCAAACAAAAGGCTCTCATACTAAAAGAGATACAGATACAATCCTCCTGTACCATAAATCAGGAAGAGAAGATACGACCTCTCATGGCCTTAGGATGTGTGTGTATGCCAGAACACTCTGGATTATGATTATGCCTTATTATTATTGTTATTATTATTATTATTATTATTATTATTATTATTATTATTATTATTATTATTATTATTATTATTATTCGATTATGCACCTCTACGCATTTATGGTCATATATTTCTAAGCATAAATGACAATCCAACAATATAAACATAACAATTGTCATGGAAACTTGATCATAAAACTGTAAGCCCAGGGGGCAGAAATGTCTCGTGCAAACAGAGAGCTCTGTCAGGACATGAAACAGCAGATCAGTTTGATCAGGCAACGGTTTCAAAATCCTAAAAACTTTCTAACATCTGTGAGGCTGAATTTTAGTTATGGTTTGAAAAATAAATTGTGATCTGTGTTTTTTCCTAAAGTTTATTTGGTATCTTGGGACTTCATCATATGACTCTAGCATAGACACCAGTGGGAGAGGAGAGTGGGAATGGGAAGATGCTTCCCTCCCTGGCTGCCCAGAAATGAAAAATAAAAGTTGTGGGTTTCCTTTGACCCTGTTTTACACTGACAGCTGTTGAACCTTTCAGACAGTACTGTGATGGGCCCCGAGGCCAGTACGTGGCAGTGGACACAAACGCAGCAGCGATAAGAACTCCACAGGTTTGATTAGAAACAGAAATAACCGTAATAAGACGAGGATATGTGGCGGGGAGTCTCTGACCTGGAGGCAGTGTAACAGAGGGACAGAGTGGTTAAGAGCTGAGTGTGAAGAGCTACAACTGGAGAGAAGATGATTCTGCATTACTTGCACATGGAGAGCACAAAGCTTTAGAGGGGGCAGCTGGGCGAACGTCCGAGTGGTGTGGGAGTGAAGGGCAGGTCAATGGCGCAGTCATAGGCCCCGTGGGGTAGAAGGGACCACGCCTTGTCCTTACTGAAGACGTCCTGAAGGGTTATGGTATTGCTTTGGGGACTGAGGAAATATCCAGAGGTGAAGGTGTGGCTGGTGAAGATTCTGATGTTCCTGAGGCTAGAGCTGAGGATAAGACACAAAATACTCCAGCTTGTGACCTCGTTGACCAGTTGATGTGTGGATGTTTTCTTAATCGAGGGTAGCTGAGAATTCAAGGCGTTTCAGGGGAGGTGAAGGTGAGGAATAAGAGTGCTTCCCAGTGGTTTCCTGGCGTGACCAGATGGACAGGTTCGGCTCAGTGAGTGATTAAGACTTGGTTGTTGAGTGAAGTGGCCGGTATGGGAGGGTCGAGCTGAACGAGCGGCAGATTTAATTGTTTAGCTAGCGCTGTGTCTACGAGATTCCACTAGGATGAGGAAAATGAGGCAACCTGCAACAACTGATTAGAAACATGTAAAAACAATTGCAGAAAAAACAAAGCTCAATTTTGTTTGGTTAATTAAACGGGTTGCAACATAAATATTTGAGTATGGTCAGTATGTACTTGGTGCCAAGGATAATTTAGGAAAAACATCACATTGATTCACATCAGTGTCTTCTGTATCTGCAGCTGTATCTGCTCGCATTTTAACAAGAACTGGGAAATTTGAGCACATTAGCCTGTAGTGAACTCTCTTCATTGGCTACCTTGTCAGGTTTGAGCAGATTTTAAGGTCCTGCTGCTCACCTACAAGGCTTTAAACGGACTGGCACCTTCATACCTGTCCGACCTTTTACATCTTTACGTTCCACCCCGTGCTCTCCGATCTCAGGACTCTGGCCTTCTAAAGCTTCCTAGAGCCAGAAAAAAGACA